GGAAGTATCTCCTTGGAGCTCACCCAAAACAGAATAAGGTGCTTGCTCTGATGCCAATTGAAATTCTGGCACGTAGTGGACAAATGTCGAATATAATGTCAGGACGTCGTAACAACAGAATTAACACAAGAATAATTTAAAGAAAATTGCAGGAATTTAAATCACACACCGTAGTTGTTAACCCAGTTCGATGCAACTTCACCTACATCTGGGGGCTATCAAGCCAGAAAGGAAATTCACTATGATAATATTAGTTCAAAGCTAAAATCCTCATTTACAACTTCTCACCTAATCACTACCTTGTGCAACTTTTACCCAGACACTCTCTAGATATGAGATCCCCCCTCTCACTTTCTAATCAGTCACAATCCCAGTGAAAATTCAACAACTACCACAAGTAGAAGTAACAACACACTTCCAATAACAATACTTATTTTTGGTTAAAAACTTTAAACTAAGGACACTATACTCTTGTTTAAAAGCGTTAAACTAAGGACAATATACTCTTGCTTAAAAGCTTATGATTGAACAATTGACAATTAACATAATCCTACTCAGATGTCAAAAGACATAAGAGAGGAACACAAAGAACAACAAAAACCCTAGAAAAATTCTCACACAAAAAATACGGCACACACACACACACACACACACACACACACACACACACACACACACACACACACACACACACACACACACACACACACACACACACACACACACACACACACACACTTTCTAGGTTAAAAGCTTTTCTTATAAATAGCCTTTGAAAAGCATAGACTTAAGCTTAAAAACCGTAATAGATCCAAAACAGCAGCTGCAAATATTCTGCATAATCTTTTGCACAAAAATAGGAACTAAATAGAAAGTTTCCCAAAAAGGCTCAAACATCCTTTTTACGAAAACTAATAGAATCTGTCATAACAGAAATTCCCATAATATACTCCCATGAATATCACACATGTTTGAATTAGAACACACTAAAAATACTAAAGTAGTCATGCCCTAACTTTCGGGTATAACATGTCCTGAAACATGTCACAACATCACGCAAAACATGATGTTTGACTGTCATGGCAGAACATCTTGCTAACATCATGTTATTTTACCAAAATGTAGCCAATTCAAAAATCACAGAACTTACAAAGTTGATGAATCAAGTCGATGGTTTTGAAGTCTAAAAGAGAGAAAGTATAAGTAACGCCTGATCATGTGCTTAGTGTCTTAGAATGGTCATTTTAATTGTAAAATTTCAATAGTAATTCTTGAAGTACTAAGGCAACACACACACACATAGAATTTTTTTCAAACCCTCTATGAAATTTATCCTCATTTTATTACACATTGAATTTATGAATATAAATATCTCAATCCTTCTCATACTCTCTTTGTTCTAAAAACTACTTTTTTCATGAGAACTACCATAGTCATAAAAGATTGAAAAACTCTTATGAGATTTGCGTTGTAATCAAGGTTGTGCTTAATTTATTGTATCTAAGAGTGTGATTATACTGTGAGAATATTTTTAAAAGACTTATAAGGTTACAAGCTAAACTTTTTAAAAGCTTGTATGTGTGTTCTTGAGCTTGACCTATGTAAAAGCTCTGGTTATATGTTTTTAAGGTTGACTTGTGTAAAAGCTCTATTTGAAGGTTCCTGAACTAATCTCATGTAAAACCTCAATTTATTGGCTCTTGAGTTTCTCTAGTTTAAAAGCTTTATTTGTTTTTTGTTGAAGGTACATGGAAAAATCTTATAAAAAGCTCAAGTGTGATTTTAGTGGAACTCTCAAGAGGAAACTCTTAGAGACAAGAGTATGCCAAGTGGTTAGGTAAAACATGTATAAATCTAAGGTGTATTCTCTCTTAAATTTTATTTTATTTTATTTCTGTTGCGTATCACTCTTCGTCTCCATATTCTTTATTTGTTTTTGTTGCAATATCTATGGTTGTTAATTAAATAAAATAAATTGTCTTAAAGAATAATTTTTTATATGAATTGTTTTCAATTTTCAAACAACACAATTCACATACCACATCTCATGCGTTTGTAGTCACTTGGTCAACAAGTGGAATTATAACCTAATACTGAAGTCAAAAGAGCCTATATAAATAAATCCTATATGCTAGTATAGTAGGTTCTTTGATGTATGCTATGGTCTGTACAAGGCCATACATAGCATACAGAGTGAGCCTTGTACAAACCATAAGAGAAAAAAACTTGCGGTTTGTTTCAGTTGGATTTTAGAAATAAAGCCGAACTAAACTAATGCGGTTTGGGTTGGTTCGATTTTTTTATAATATTTTTATTGAGTCATACATACACATATAAAGAACAACATAAATTTGTGTTTAGTAATTAATACATTACCAAATAACAACAAAACTCATCATATTTATACAATAACTTCTCATTCAATATACAAAAATCAGATTAGACAAAAGCAGAATAAAAAACATAAAATAGTAGCATAAAACAATATCAAAAACATTATATTGAAATAGAAAAAATAGAGAAGAGTAGTGATTAAAGAAGATGAAAAAGAAAGAACAGAAAATATGTGTGGTTAGAGAAGAAATGTGCGATAAAAGCATAATTGGAAGAGAGAACGATAACATAAAAATGAGAAGATGAAAAAGAAAGAATATAAGTGAGGAGAGATTAGAGTAGAAGTGGTGATAATTACATGAGAAAGAAGATGACAAGAAGACGTTATAGGACTAGGATAGATTAGTGAAGGCTGAAACTGAAACCATAAGTGTGAGTAAGAGAAAATGATTCGTAATCGTAAGGCTAAAGCATAATAGATTTGGACTTTGGGTTGGATGTGGGATAATTGAAATTTGAATTATAACGTAATGCAATTTGACTTGCAAAATACAAACCGCAAATCAAACTCGACCATTTAGTTTTGCTAAAAAATGATCCAAATACATCCAAATCAAATGCGAATTTTTGCACTTTCGATTTAATTTTGTTTAATTTACGGTTTTTTTATTTGGTCGATTCGATTTTAAACACCTCTATTTTTTATTATAAAAATAAACATATAAAAAAGTGTAATTTGATCAACGCTCAAAAATTCCTTTAAAACTTTAAGCAACATTTACATTTTATCTCATAAAAAAATTTATAATTCAATCCAATCCAATCAAATTGTTTTGATACTCATTCTTAATTTTCAAAGTATTCAAATTACACACATTCATATATAAATTCACACATAATTTGAATCTTTACGTTAATAGTTAATACTACTTTTTAAATTTCATTCCTAAAAAATAGATGCGTTAAGAAAAATGTCATTTAAAAAATTGTTTCATTTTATATTAAGAAAGTTAATTAAATATTATTAATTTTCTTCATTCAATATAAAACATAAATATTATTTACTAAATTATTTTTTTAATAGTTAACTGATCAAGTATGTATTAAACCTTTTTAAAAATACAAGATATATAATGAATACTAACATTAAATAATTTAAAAGTTGTTGACTTTTGTTATATTTTATTTATAATAGTGATTAAAACGTAAATGTATTAAATTATTAATTATAGCTCTGTTCGGCTAACTTGTTTATACACAAATATAAAGTTTGTGTTAAGAAAACAATTAAAAACCAAATTATAAGCCTAACTTGTGTCCTAAAAAAATACACAGATAAATAGTTTGTGTTAAAAAATAATATAAAAAACAAATTATCAGGCTAACTTGTTCCTTAAGAAATATACAAATATATATATATTTTTGTCTTAAAGCATAATTAAAAGAACAAATTTTAGTATAATCATTGCACAAATTTCAAAAATAACTTTTTTAAATTTTAATTTGTGCTAAAAGAGCACATTTTAGCTTTATCTATTATAATTTTGTTAAATTATCCTTCACTAAGAGAAAAAAATATCAAATGAAATGATAGATAGTTAAAAAGAATACTTAAAATAAAAACATTATTATTTAAAAAGTAATTAAATTTATTAATTTTCTTAATATAGATAGTATAAAAGATACTCTCTTAACAAAGGTTGTATAAAAAAAAGACTTTCTTAATAAATGTAAAAAGGTCAGAAAAGTATTATTTCATCCGATTTCATATATATATATATATATATATATATATATATATATATATATATATATATATATATATATATATATATATATATATATATATATATATATATATATATATATATATATAAACAATTTAATAAAAGGTAACTTTTCCAATTTTATCATACTTTTTGTTTTGTGAATAGTTAAAAATATAAAAATGTGAAAAAAGTAGAATTATATTTAAAATAATAATATTGAATGTGATAATTAAAAGTAACTTTTGATTATATTTAAAATTAGTAAGTTTTTTTAGCTTTTATTTTAAAATTTAAAAAGTCTTTGTTTTTAAATTTTTTTAAGAAATAAACCAGGTTGGTTGACAGGAGTAATTAAAGGGAGTAAATCAAAATTAGTAACGTGTATTTAATTCATTAAATATTAATAAAAATTAAAAATAAAAGTGAAAAATAATAAAAATATAAAATAAATATATTTTTTATCATATAAAACCTAATATTTATATTTGTTAATTGAAGTAATTAACAAATTCATTAAAAAATTATAAATAAAATCTCCAATATTATTTATAAATAAATATATGTTTTTATCGTATAAAAGATCTGAATGATTTAGAAATCTAATAGTAGAAATATATGATACACAAAAAATAGTCAATTTAATACCCCTAAATCAATAATCATTACTTAATTAATAAAACAATATAAAACCTGAAATAAATTATTTTCTACGAATAACACCATACCCATACGTGGCAATTGCTTACTAAGTCCTCACCGACTTATATCAATTTCCTGTTTCCCAAGCTTTCTCTCTATTTATTTTATTTTTTAATTATTTTATTTCTACTTAAATTTTTTTTACTTATTATAAATATAAATAAAAAATGTATCAAAACTCTCAAATTCTGTTACAGAATGGAGAGAAAACGTGCTTTTTCTACTATCAACGACAACAGCAGCTTCAAAAAGACGTTACAAATAAGAAACAATCAAAACAAGAACAAGCCTTCATTCACCAAAGAAGATTCTGCAATTCTCTTGAAAAAGTCTCTTTCGATTTCTCTTTTTTTCTGCGTTTTGGTGATTCTGTTGTCGTTTTCTCTTATGAACGGTGATTTTTTGTAGGTACGACGCAAAGACGGTGTTGAAGCTGTTACAGGAAGTGGCGAGTAATGCAGGATGGAAGATTAATTGGAAGGAGATGGTGAAGAAAAGTTCGACTGGAATTTCGAGTGTGAGAGAGTATCGAATTCTGTGGCGGCATTTGGCGTATGGTCATTCCTTGATTGATGATGATTTTCAAGATCTGGTTTGTTTATATTCCTTGATTGATGAATATTTTTTATCCAACAAAAAAGAAATTTGGCTATATTTAGATTTTATTTAAAAAAAAAAATAGTAGTCACAAGTGTTGGTATGGGTGTTCGATACCTATATGGACACGTCTTTTTTAGAAGTGTGGGTGCTATATAGGTAGTTTATGTATATATAGAAATCAGATACACTACCGTTACAATTAGACGCATTCATGCATTGGTATTTTTCGGATATCTTATAGAAATCGGATAGCCTGCAGTTACAATTAGAGGCATTCATGCATTTGGCATTTTGTTGGGTTTGATGATATAGAAATCAGATACCTTGCGGTTACAATTCAACAGATTCACCAATTATGGAAAAAATTGTAATAGCATGGAATAGTGCTTATTTAAATTTAGAAATGTTATTGCTGATATATACAAAATTATAGTGATTTTAGTGACAAAAATATATCTATTTATACATATTGGTTGCAGGATGATGATAGTGATTTGGAGTGTGAGCGGAAATCATTCCCACCTATGTCCAAGGAAAATGAATCACAAGCTGCAGCATGTGTCCAGGTATATACAGTATATAACTAACATTGATCTATTAATATGAACAAAATGAGTATCTCAAACAGTTCTGATTTGTGAATTGTTTATTGAATAGGTAATGATTGAATCTGTTAAAATGAGTAAATCAGCACCAAGTAGTTCAATAGTTGAAGCTCCATTGCCTATAAAAGTTCCATCATCTAATTTAACAGAAGAGACAGAAATTCGTTTTCCAGTTATTGTGGATAGACAAACAAGGATACATAATAGTAATGCATCATCAAATATAAGAAAAGGAGGATGGTCAAAGGAAGAGGACATAGAATTACAAGCTGCTGTTCAGAAGTGGGGGGAAGGGAATTGGACAGAAATGGCTGCCAGAGATGATTTTCCTCTTAATAGAACTGCTGCACAGTTGTCTAAGGTCAGTTTTTTCAACTCTAAATTGTTTTTGTTCTAAAGTACCTTTCATTTTACATATTGTATTGGTTTGATTTATCTAAAATGTTCTTTACAGAGATGGAGAATTTTAAGAAATAAAGTTGAGCAGCAATAACTGAAAACCATTGCAACAAGCCGACAGCCGATAACGGATTGAGATTGATGGATTGAACTATCACTGATGCATCGAATGCGTGAATGTCTCCACAAGTTAGTGGAAATCTGCATCCCTTAATATTAGTCACAAAACAAGTAAAAAAGTTTAAATATTCCATTTAGATTTCTACTATTTGGTAGTATTTTTTCTTATTTCATTTATAAAAAAATATATTTATTTTTCAGATTTATATAATAAATTAGAGTACATTTTAATGTAATGTTACTCGGATATACTTGTTCTTTAATAATTTTTTTTAATAGAAATTAGAGTACATTTTAATGTAATGATATATCTAGTTTAATTACCTCCTCATTTAAGTTGATAATTTTATTTTTTAGGGATTGTTTGGTTCAAATGAGGGGGAGCGGAGGGATTTTAATGAATGCAAGGGAAGAGATTTTTTAATTTTGGTTTAAAAGAAGAGAGGGGAGGGAAAAGGAAGATAGAGATTTTAATTAAAAATGTATTTAGTTCAGAAAGGGAGGAGAAAAGTTTTATTAATAATTTACTGTTTTATTCTTATGATTTTATATAAGTCACGTGATATTCAAATATAAAAAATTCATTCGTATTTTTGTTGGTAATAAATTTTTTAATATTAGTAATTAAAAAAGTATTTATTTGTCACCTAACATTAAAAATTTCAGTACAATTAATTCGACTTATAATTTTCAACGTAAATTAAAATATATGTCAATAACATTAAAATATATTCAAATGTAAAAAATTCATTCGTATTTTTGTTGGTAATAAATTTTTTAATAGTAATGATTAAAGAAGTATTTATTTGTCACCTAATATTAAAAATTTGAGTACAATTAATTCGACTTATAATTTTCAACGTAAATTAAAATATATGTCAATAACATCGTTTCAATTGTGATGAATCATATAACAAAACAAATATATAAAATAATTTATTATTAAATATTAATGATTCAAAATATTTAATAAAATAAATAAACAAAAATAAATAAATTGAATAGTTTACCATTTGATATAAAAAAAAATATGATAGAATACATAACAAAATTAAAAGAAAAAAACGAATATAACTAAACATAATTTTTTTTATAAAAAAAAGACAATAATTATGATTTAATATTAAGTACAAAACTTATAAAATAATTTTAAGGTGGAGAACAATTATAATAAGTGTGTTTTGGAGGAATTTTTCTCCCCTTCCCTTTTAAAATTTGAACCAAACACATTTAATTAAATTTTTTTTATCACCTCCATTTATCCCAAATCAAATATACCGCAATATATTTTATGGACATATGAGAAAATGCTTAGCTACTTTGCCTAAGATTTTTTAATTTTTATTTATATTTTAGTTTTTATTTGTGTAATATTTTTCAGAAGTGATTTTTTTTTCTTAGAAATAAATTAATGTTTTGATTAGTTTATGGAAAAAAAGTGAAAAATACATAATTTATAGTGTTCAAAAGTTTTCAACCATATTAATGAAATTGAAAAACTATTATTCCTTTTTCGAAAGTATCTGAATTATTTATACCAAAATCACTTTTATTTTAATTTATAAAGAATGAATACTTAGTTTTAATTTATGAAGCTTAATAAGGATCCAATCTTTATTTTCTATTTCTGAATTTATTTACATTAATTTTTTATTCAATGTGCATAGTCAAATTATTCAATCACTTGATAAATCAAAGAAATAAACTTTAAATTCAAAGGTGTTGATGACATCTTATATTTTTAAAATTGAATAGTTATATTATTTTAATATAGAAATTGAGCTACTAAAAATGTGAATAAACAACCCACCTAATATGTACTTAACTTTAGAAAACCTTAGATATTAAATAACCTTACAATGTCTTGTATTTATGGATCAGGTAATATTAAATAACCTTACATTCGAAGTGTAAATAAATTGTACGTATATATACATTAAATGTAAACATGTGACAGTTGTATAAGAATATTGGATGCAGGGTGCAGATTTTAAAGCCTTGGATGCAATATTGGATGCAGGGTGCATATTTCAAACCCGCGAAATCCCACTTTTTAACTATAGAAGGAGATCAGAGGTCAACTTTTTAGAGCAAAAAGCTAATAATAAAATAAAAATTATTTTTAAGAACCAAAGTCAACCTTAAAATAAAAAAACATCATAATAGTTTCCATGTTCTATGTATTATGACAATCATGCTACAATCCTTAACAAAGTTCAAAGTACATGAAATAAAGTAACTGAAATTTAAACTCTATATTGGAGCTGGTGCTTCTTCATGCATACTATTTTGTTTAGACAGTGTAGGATTAACACATGCAAACAATGATTGATGATGTTTTTGTCTCTTCAACTTGACACCAAACAGAAAAGACCTCAAAGGTATTCTATTCCCTCTTGTGTTTCTCTTTGTTTCACTATGAACACTACTCACCCCAATTTGTTGATCAAGTTCATCAAGTGTTTTCTCAACATCACTCTTCATTCCTTTCACAAGACTTAGACCAGCTTGCAATTCACTTGCAACTTTACTATTCTCTTGTTTCATGTTAAGAATCTCACCTTGAAATTTTGCAGCTTGATAACCACTTATTATCTCAGGTTTTTCGGTATTCTTCGATTCTGCATTATTACCGGCTTTCGCTATTTCGTCTTGAATGTTGCATAATGATGAGTATCTACCTTGTAGTTCATCTTGCAATACTGCATTGTGTTCAAGCCAAAGTGATAGTTCGGTTCGAATCTCTCTTAAGTGACGGAAAATCGGCCTAAGTTGAGATTGCATAGATTGATGCTGTTTCGAATGCGAATGTCCTTCGGATTTGCTGTTGTTGTTTTCCTTTATTGTCTTTAGTTCGGCTTTTAAGTCCTGAATTGAGTTTTGGAACTTTTGAATCTGGTGAACTGAGGTGCTGAATCTTAGCCAAAACTCGAGGTTTTCTTCGAGCAGGTCGTCAATGTCCGAACGGAATTTCTTTTCTAAATCCGAAAGGTCTTGCTGTTTGTCTTGGTGAGCCATGAGTTTCTCAAGGCTCATTTTTAGGCCAAGGTTTGTTGAGTTTTGATCATGTCGTTGGTCTGCTGCATATGGTGTTGCGATCGTGTTTGTGTCCGTGTTTAGAGATGCGATATCGATTTCTTGCATGTTGGATCCTTGACCTGATTTTCTAAGAATTGCTTCATGTGGTGTGTATTTGTATTCTGTTGTTGTTGTGTATGGACTTTCATCAGGATTTGTGTCTCCACAGTTTAGCTTTTGATGTAGAAATTGTATCTCTTTGTCCCTTGTTACAAGAGCATTCTTCATTTCTCTTAACTGCATAGAACATAACATATTAGTTGGAGGGAGTGGAAGCCACTTTATAATGTATATCCGTATGCAACACCGACACTTCAGATTAAAGAAGTCTCGGGTGTCCAACATATGTCAGATTAAAAGAGTCTCTGGTGTTCAACACATGTCAGTGAATGAAACCAACACATGGTTACATTCGATCACTTTCATTTTTTTTTTATATAAATTATTACTAATGTCTACGCGTCACTGATTGTCATGAATTATAAAACATTGGCGGAGTCACGGACACGGATATCAAACATAACACATTTCCTTTGTCATTTGTTATGAGTTGAATTTTGAGATTCATACAAGATATATCAGTTACTCAAATGTCATGCATGCGCGCATTCCGAGTTCAAAATAATGAATAGATTGATAATAATATCATACCTGAAGTGCCAGCTCAAAAATGCTGTCTCTATTTTTCTGTTCAACATCATTAAGCTTCACTCTAACATCTTTATAGTTTCTCAAAACAGATGTATACTCTTCCAACAGAATTTTCTCTCTATCATCCAATCCATTCACAAACATATGCCTCCAATTAGGTTGAGCATCCTCACCGATTTCCAAATCATGTGATTCAGTATCAACACTGCTCATTACATCAGACATACCGTCCTTATCATGTTCTCCCATTTTTTCAATCCTTTCGCTCATAAAATTCGTATTTTGGCTCATAATTGACGTTTTACCATCTGAGTTTCCATCACCACCGTGATTTTTCTCTACTGTACTAACATCGTTCTTTACAGAATCATCGATATCAGAAGCATTTTTCTTCTTGTAAAGTACTATACTCTCATCTTCAATATCATGCTTCATGTTATTCAACTTTCCTGATAAATGCTCGAGATTGCAACTCGCTTCTGTGAAATGTGTTCTTATGCTGTTGTCTTGTTTTCTAACACTTTTGTTGAGAATTTTAACTCTCAACAATTCCTCTTCGATTTCTTTTAGCTTCTTGTTAGTAGCTGCTGATCCTGCTATAAGCATTTCTTTGTCCTCTTCCAATGTCTTTACGTGAGTTTGAAGTTCGTCGGTTTCTGATCTCAATCGATTAACCATACCTGTTTGAGAAGACACTGCAGTTTCCAATGTAACAACCTTATTCACGAGCTCGTCGATGCACTCGGCCATTTCAGTCACGGTAAGAGAGTTTCCAGAATCTTGTTCCAGTTTTTCCTTAATCTTTTCTCGCAACAAAACAACATCGTCCTCTTGTTGTTCCAAATTAGCTATCTCTTCGTCGATGTTTTTCTGTTCTTCCCTTATTCCGCTCTTGCATTTCTCCTCCTGTTGGCGTTCTTTTTCACTCATGAATTTAGTAATGAATTGATCTCTAAGATTCTCAAACATCTCATGAGCTTTTCTTACCCTTTCATATTCAACTTTAGCTTCTATTGATGACTGTGCTTGTATCTTTTGAAGCTTCGAAAGCGTCTGTTGACACGATTTCAACGCGGTTGCTGCCATTAAAGCTCTTGCATCGTCGTCTTCGATGACAGTACCAACACCAAACTCATCTTGCAGACTGTTAACATTTTTCTGCATACCTGTTATCTCATCTTCGATTTGCCAATACTTTTCATACGCGCGTTCATACACGCTTCTCACGAACTCTTTCTCGGTCTGCAGCGCTAAAATCTCTTTCTGAAGTTTGTCGATTTCACGTACCGCCGCATCCTTTGTAAGACCTGATCTTGAAATTGTGGCAACATATTTTGGCGAACTTGAAGTTTTCTTCATTGAAATATTCCGCGATAGCAACATTGAAGGATTTCGAAAATCGTTCTTTGGAATCTTTGGAACTTTCGGAATGGTGGATGATTTTTGCACTTGGTTGTGGAGGTCAGGAGATGGAAAGCTTGATGTTCCCGTCTCACTTTCATCGTCTTCGTCATCGTCGATTTGGCATGGAACTTGATCAGGAAAAACACTTGCAATTGTTCTATTTGCACTTTGAAGTTCTCTTGATAAATGATCATACCTTTCTGCTAAAGCTCTATATGCTCTAAAGGCTTCTTCTACAAATTCAACAAGCTCTGGCCTCTTCCTATAATACATTTCGGCTCTTTGAGAAAATGAGTCTCCATCATTTTGTAAGATTCTTAGTGTATCAGTCACCTTCTCCTCCATATCTGTTTATTTTTCATGTCATTTGGTAATGAGTTTTGTTTCACAAGTTAGAGTAGAATGAATGATGCAAATGAGAGTTTCAAAAACACGGACACCAAACATGACGCTGGTAAAACTCCATGCAATGAAACTAATAAAAATTTATGAAGTTCTGATGCTAGATACGACACTAATACTCATAATAGTTTAAGAAAATTAGAATGATCGAATGTATTCGTGGAGAATACGTACACCTTTAATATGACATTTTGGTGCTACATAGATAAAACTACGATATGATGTCATAATTGTTTGAGGGGAAATCCATAACTATTCTATTACTCGGAGGTAATCAATCATATTGAAGTCTAAGAGAGCAATAATGTCTCTCAGGTTGCTAATGCGTGTCAACATCGTTCTTTTTTTCAAATTATTTATAATGTTAATATTTTAGTTAGTCGTAGTCTCCCACGATCTTCCAACTTTCGGAGAAAGAATGCTTCAATTAGGCCAATCCCATCTATGATAATATTATATCATTTCCTAACAAGTAATAACACTAAAATGTGTGAATTTTGAGATCAATGTGATTGTGAGACATTATCCATTTTCATGCATTCATATTTTGCTTCACTTCTCTAGAATCTTCAAATTTATTCTACACTATCAATTAGTTTTAATTAGGTTGTAGATTGTGTGCCATCTTTGAATAGATCAACAAATTTCCACAATTTCTAAATAATTTAGTTTGAGACCTAGGTTCATGTTTGATGGAAATAATGATGTTGGAAAAAAACCTAGATTCATGTTTGATGGAAATAATGATGTTGGAAAAAAAAACCTAGATTCATCTTTGATGGAATTAATGATGTTGGAAAATAAACATGAAGAAACATACCTTGGAGGCATTGATCCAACCATTTTGATTGCTTTGTCCTAATGTGGCTAGCCCACCACCATGAATATGCATTACTTGCTGCCCTTTGCAACATTTTAAAATTTTTATATTAGGTAGCGATCAAATACACATTCATTTCATTGAGGTAAAGATTAAGATTGCAATGTCAAATGAATGTGACAAACAAGTTAAAAATGTGACAAACAAAAAAAAAAAAATTGATCAAAGAAGATCTTTGATGTTGATTGACATGGTGATTAATGAAAATTATGGTGAAAAGAAAAACTTGTTGACTAAAATGCCCTTTTGATTTTAAGACTTACACATGGAGAGGAGGATACTTCGCCAAATGACAACGTGTAAGGTGTTGAGTCCTTTGAAGTGTTCAAAAGTTGGAAGGACTTTGTAGGAAATGTTGTCTTAGATGTTTTTGGTTTGGTCTTGTTGGCAACCTAAGAAAAGAAAAACAAGTTTAACAAATTGCCTCACTTACGAAAAATACTCATAAAATAGTTTTCATAACGACAAAAAACTAAATACTTTACTTGGCAAAGTTGTTAGTTGTTGTAGTAAGAACTAACAAATTAGTTATTACTAAATTTCTAGATAAAAATGGAGAATCAATTTGGTTGCAACTTCATGGTAGAAAAATAGTATCATCAATATAAAAATATTTATATATAATGTTGAAAAAAAAATTATGAAAAGTATTAGAACTAATTCATATTTAATAATAGTATTAGTTTTTGTTAAGCTTAATTTAATTAGTGTATGTTGGCATTTTTGTTTATGTGATATTATTATTTGTGTAAAACAAGTAGTGCGATGTGAGTAATAAGTAGTGGCGTAATTGTCGTGTAACTGTTTTAAAAAAGTAGTAGTTTGTTATTTCAATTCTCTCTCTTTTCTCTCTTTCTCAATCTTTATTTTCTTCATCTTGTGCAATAAAAAATTAATATCTAATGTTCCGGTTCAGATCCACAAAGAAACACGAGTGAACAGTGAGACCTTGTGTGATTGATTTTGTTTCTTGAATTCGTGATGAATTTTTTGATCGGAATCATAACAAAGTCACATTTCTTGATTCCGCGGGATTTGGAAAACTAGTGTTTAGTGAGATCTGAGTGAATTGCACAAGGTTGAAGATGAATGGAAACGGTAATCTGAGTACTAAGCTTCCAGTGTTCGATGGCAAGAACTGGAATCGGTGGATGACTCAGATACATGTGTTGTTTGATGCTCAAGATGTTCTGAATTTCGTCAACGACGTTTACGTTCCAGTTACACTTCTAGAAAATGCAACAGATGCGTAGAGGAATGCTCAGCGTGATCCAAGGAAGAAGTATCATAAGACATTGTTCTACATCCATCAGTGTGTGGATGCGAGCGTGTTTGAGGAAAAACGTTGATTCAAAGACGACGAAGACTGCGTGGGACACACTGGTACAGTGCTACGACGGTGATGCATTAGTGAAAAATGTGAAGCTTCAGTCTCTACGTAAACAGTATGAGAATCTCAACATGAAGGACAATGATAAGGTACTTGACTACATCTTTAGAGTGACTCTGATCATAAATGAGAAGAAGTCGTGTAGAGAAACTCTCTCTAAAGAAAAGATCATTGAGAATGTAGTTAGATATCTTACTCCTCAGTTTGATTATATTGTGGTAGCGATTGAACATTCTAAGGATCTTAGCACCATGATAATTGAAGAGCTACAAAGTAGTTTAGAGGCATAAGAGTTGCGTCTGACTGAGAGAAAATCTGAAAGGGAGTTAGATCACAGGCTCTGAAAGTAGCTTCTAGTAAGAAATATCATAAGCAGTCTTGGTCAGAAGCCAGAAAGAAATCTGATGGTGTTCAGAAGTCAGAAACCTCAAATTTTAAAAGGAAGAAAAATGCTTAGAAGAGGAAGGAGAAATGTGACAAAATGAAGGTTCAATTCTATTGTAGTAAGAAGTTTGACCATTTTGCTGCTGATTGTTGGTCAAAAAAGAAAAAGAAATCAGAAGAAGTAAACATATCCAGAAAAGATTCTGATGATGAACCTGTGTTATTGACGGCTTATGAGTTTGATAGTGCGTCTTTGGAAGAATGGTGGTACATGGACACATGTTGTTTAAATCACCTTACTGAAAATAAGAAATGACTGGTTGAGTTTGACTTTGATAAGAAGACCAAGATCAGATGTGCTGATGATAAGTATCTGAATGCTAAAGGAATGAGAAATGTTAGAATAGTTATGGATAATGGTAAAACTGCATTGATTCAAAATGTGTTGAATGTTCCTGGCATGAAAAACAATATGATGGGTGTAGGTCAATGGATTGAGAAAGGATTTTCAATTACCATGAAGGACAATCTTTTGAAGCTGTGTGACTATAATCAGAAGTTGATTATGAAGTCAGAACATGGAAGGAATAAAACATTCAAAGTGAATGTTAAAACTGCAAACTCTGAATGCCTTAGTGTAACAAGTGTTGTGAAGGAAAGTGAGTTGTGGCACAAAAGATTTGGTCATTTGAATTTCAGAAGCTTAGGGAATATGAACTTAAAGAAGTTGGTACATGGAATTTCTGCAATTAAGAAGCCAGAGAAGTCATGCAATATGTGCATGAGAGGGAAACAACCAAGACTTCCATTTTCATCTGAAATGCCTCTAAGAGAAAAGCATGCTTTGGGTGTGGTGCATTCTAATGTGTGTGGAACATTTTTAGTATCTTCACTTGGAGGGAATAAATACTTTGTGTCATTTGTGGATGAGTTCACAAGGATGACGTGGGTATCTCTTATAAAGTTCAAACACGAGGTGTTTGCTAAATTTAAGAAATTCAGAACCAAGGCTGAGAATTAGAGTGGTTAGACTCCGAAGATTCTCAAAACTAATAGTAGATGTGAATATAACTCTACAAAGTTCAGAAAGTTCTGTGAGGAGAACAAAATTGAGCATGAGCTAACTGCTTTGTACACTCCTCAACACAATGATCTTGTTGAAAGAAGAAACCAAACTTTGCTTGATATGACAAGGAACATGCTGAAGGAGAAGAAGCTCCCTCACACCATGTGAGGAGAAGCTGTTGTCACTGCAGCATATGTGCTCAACAGGTGTCTAAACAAAAAGCTGAAGGAAATTATTCCTTTAGAGAAGTGGACTGGAGATAAGAAAAGTATGAGTCATCTGAAGGTGTTTGGTTTTGTTTGTTACAAACATATTCTAGATGCTAAGATAAGGAAGTTGGATGACAGAAGCAGAGTCATGTTGCTTGTAGGATACCACAATACATGTGCTTATAAGGTCTACTGTCCTTTCACTAACACCGTTGAATTTAGCAGAGATGTCATTGCGAAAGAATCAGAAGCGTGAGATTAGAGTAAGTCTCAATCCAACTCTAATGTAGTGTCAACACCTGAGTTAAATTATAAAGATACTTTATAATCCGAAGGTTTTGAAGATGACTCTGAAGCTGAAGGAGACTCTGAAAGTGAGTCAAAGTCTGAAGGCGAGTCTGACTCTGAAGGTGAATCTGATTCTGATCCATACTCTGATGGTGATTCAGATTCTGGTAGAGACCCAGACTCTAGGAATATTCCAGACTTTGAAGGTGGTCATGCCTCTTAAGATTCTAAACAAGTTCAAAGGCCACAAAGAATCAGAAACATTCCAAGAAGATTTGAAAAGTTTGACATGCTGCAAAATATTGAAATAGACTCTAAAGGGGAAGTCATTCAGTGTGCCATGTTAGTAGACTCTGAACTAGTGAGTACAGAAGAAGCTCACAATAAGAAAGTATGGATGAAGGTCATGAAAGAAGAACTTGAGGCTATAAAAAGAAACAAGACTTGGAAGTTGACTGAGCTTCCAAAGAACAAAAAAGTCATCAGTGTCAGATGGGTTTTCAAGGTGAAACTAAAGCCATATGGATCAATTGGAAAACACATAGCATGGTTAGTATCAAGAGGATTTATGCAAAAACCTAGATTAGATTACTTTGAAGTGTTTTCTTATGTAGAGAGACACGCGACAAACAGACTGGTAATTGCGATAACTACTTACATGAATTGGCCTCTGATGCATTTAAATGTGAAATCTGCCTTTTTGAATGGTCCATTGCAAGAAGAGGTATACGTGTCACAACTTCCTGAATTTATGAAAAAGAATCAGGAAGGGACGATGTACAAATTATATAGAGCATTGTATGGACTAAAACAAGCTCATAGAGCTTGAAATCTAAAAATTGATTCATTTTTCAAGATCCAAGGATTCATAAGGTGTGAGATGGAGTATGTTGTCTATGTTTAGCATACTTCTGAAGGCAATATGGTTATGGTATGTCTCTATGTTGATGACATATTGCTAATAGAGAGTTGTGAATATGAGATAGCTATGTTCAAGAAGGTGCTGATGAATGAATTTGAGATGACTGATCTAAGAAATGTGACATATTTTCTAGCGATGGAGATTTTGTACTCTGACAAGGGTATATTTTTTTTGCATCAGTTGAAGTATGAACTTGAGCATGTGAAGAGATTTGAGTTGCTAAATTATAAATCTGTTGTCACACCTTCAGAAATAAATCACAAATGTGATTCTGATCCTGGGGGTGATAATGTAGATGCTACAACTTTCAAGCAGCTGGTTGGTTCTATGAGGTATTTATGTAATACCAGACCTACCATTTGCTATGCAGTTGGACTGGTTAGTAGGTTCACGAGTAAACCGAAGTGGTCTCATAACCAAGCTGCTGTTAGGATTCTGAAGTATATTAAGGGGACTCTGAAGTATAGAGTGTTATTCCCTTCTGGTGAAAAGGCTAATTCAGAGATGATATGTTACTTATACTCTGATTGGTGTGGAGACAAAGTTGACAGAAGAAGTACTTCTGGATATTTGTTTAAGTATCTGGCAAGTCATATTTCTTGGTGTTTAAAGAAGCAACCACTTGTTGCTTTATCAACCTGTGAAGTCGAGTACATTGCAGGTGATGTGGCTGCATGTCAAGTTATTTGGCTTCTAAATTTACTGCAGGATCTAAAGATCAAGGTAGACAAGCCTCTAAAGTTGATGATTGATAACAAGTCTACAATCAATCTTG